AAGCTTGCTTAGCTTCGCGGGTTTTTCCAGTCTGTACAACCTTAAATGTAACCTCATCTGAATAAAGAATGAATGAATGAATAAAGAATTTGTGGCGTGCGGCTTGATGTTGTCACACAAAGGGAAGGGACCTACAGTTTTACGCCGACTCCGAACGGCGATTGTATTTTAATGAGAAGCTGATTTTCAAGGCATAAATACACACGGAGGTTTGTCATTGCCTGCCGAGGGTCGACCGCTGATATTTAAGAAAAAACTTTTTTGAAATTTTTTTTCTGATGTTGCTTTGACCAAGGCTTGAACCCAGGCGCTGCGAAGTGGATGCGCGCACTGCTTACCACTACACCACAGCTCGTGATATTTTTTCGTTTTTTTCTTTTGTTGTTTAACATGCGTGACACTACATATATAAGGATTGCTTATGATGCTTGCAGAGTAGTTGCTACAAAACTTAACTTATTATTAGTCATTATCATATTTATTTGTAGCATAGCATCACTTCTAGCAATTACTCTGTCGTCAACCTTAGATGTCCAATGATTCTGTTTACTTTACTATTAAATAACAATGGAATGACAAATTGTTTTGGGATTTGTAGTTGTTGTTGAAAAAACTACGATGTCCGATTTCAAAAATATTCAAGACGGTGCTTAAGGAGACTAACCACAATGTGTTTACCAAATTTGGTCGAGATGGGTCAAGTGGTTTTTGAGATAGTACACATATAATATAAGATGGATGTGCCACCCCCCATTTTGCTACAAATTTATTTAAAACCACTTTTTTGCTAGAGAGCGGTTGTATACAGGGTGTCCCAGAAGTAACCTGCCAAACTTGAGCAGAAGGCAGGTGGGGTGGTGAACTTCCTGACAAGCAAAAATTTTTCAGGTAAAAGTGTCACCGTTTTTGAAATATTTAAATTTTTTTGAATTAAAGAAAAATCGTGCCTTTTCATGTATTTTCTTTAACTGCATCTACAAACAAGGCTATACTTAGTAAATTTTTTATGTAAAATACTTCCAGATAGTTGCTTCTCCATATTCAAATACAATGTAGTAAAAATATATTAAGGAACCATTATAAAATTAGGACTATTTTGGGATTTTTAACTTTTTGATATTTTGTTCCCCAACTTTGACTATCTCTGGTGAAAAAGGGTGTACTGAGATATAACTTTACATTACATAAAAAAATGCTCATTTAATAAATATTCCAGAAATGTGCCACTCTTACTATTTCGAATAGAAAAAAACAGTTATAGCCGCTTTTGTGTGTTAAGGACTGAGACAAGCTAGAATGTATTTAATAGATTTAAATTTAAGTCGGTCTTGTTACCGACCGATAACATGCTAAATAGTACAAAGGTACATTATTACTTGCTCCTGACATTATTTTGTGTTACTTACCGGAAATAATGAAAGTGGATTTTATGAAATTGGATCCTTCGAACATTGTGTTATTAATACTATGACGGAGAACACGCAGTATACGTCGCATGAATATACGGATATTCACCTAATTTACGGTGAAGCTTGCTGAAATGCCAGAGCTGCTCAAAGACTCTATGCAGAGCGATACCCAAATCGTCGGGATCCGGGTCGTGAAGTATTCGACCGGACCCATAGAGAAATATATGAAGGTAAGTGATTTTTACACCTTTCTTGTTTGAAGCCATTCTTCTCTAACTATCATTTTTAACTTTTTTTAGGTCGCATATCTGGAAGGCGTGGCGGCGAGACAGGACGTCCTGCAACGGTAGATGTTAAAGTTGTGTTAGAGGAAGTGGAACTAGGTCCATCGACTTCAGGGAGAATGATGAAAAGACGGACGGGAATACCAAAAACTACAGTTCACAAAGCTTTTAAATACCATCCCTACCACATTCAACGTGTTCAGGCTCTACAAGACAGAGATTACCTGTCGAGGGTTAGATTTTGCAGTGAAATGCTGCGAATGCATGATTCAGACCCCAACTTTTTTAATAAAATAACTTGGACCGATGAATCATCATGCAAACGTGATGTTGATTTTTATTTACATAACCTTCACAGTTGGCAGCTAGACAATCCTCACGAAATGAGATAAGACCGTTCGCAGTACCAGTACAAAATAAATTTATGGTGCGGTATTTTTAATTGTCAGATATTGGGACCTGTGGAACTGCCGCCAACGCTCAACTCCAACAGTTATTTAAAGTTCCTTCAGGAACAGCTTCCAACTCTTTTAGAAGATGTACCCTTTAACCTGCGGCGAAGACTATGGCAGCAAAATGACTGATGACCTGCTCACTACGGGCGTGAAGTAAGAGCACATTTAGACGAAACTCATCCTCGCCGATGGATTGGACGATACGGGCCAATCACGTGGCCCGCTCGATCACCAGACCTGAATCCATTCGATTTTTTCTACCGGGACAAAATTTATTCAAAAATAATTAAAAACGAAGAGCATTTTCGGGAACAAATAAATGGAGCTGCTGCTGAGATAGCCCAATTGAGTTTAAGATCTCTAAAAGCGTCTTTTCTTAAAAGGTGCCGAGCTTGTATTAGAGTAGAAGGTCGCCAATTTGAGCATATTTTATCAATAAATGAATAAATTTTTCTTCAAACAACTCACGTATATTCTATTTCACGTGAACCCATCCTTCACAAAAAATTTTGATAGATATAGCCCTTGTTACTGACTCTAGTCCGGATCCCGGTAAGTAACATAAAATAATTTCAGGAGCATGTAATAATGTACCTTTTTACTATTTAGCATGTAATTGGTCAGTAATAAGAGCAACTTAAATTTAAATCTATTAAATACATTCTAGCGTGTCTCAGTCCTTTACCCACTAAAGCGGCTATAACTTTTTTTTTCTCTTCGAAATAGTAAGAGTGGCACATTTCTGAAATATCTATTAAATGAGCAATTTTTTTATGTAATGTAAAGTTATAGCTCAGTACATTTTTTTTTTTCACCAGAGATAGTCAAAGTTGGGGAACAAAATATCAAAAAGTTAAAAATCCCAAAATAGTCCTAATTTTATAATGGTTCCTTAATATATTTTTACTACCCTGCATTTGAATATGGAGAAGGAACTATCTGGAAGTATTTTACATAAAAAATTTACAAAGTATAGCCTTGGTTGTAGATGCAGGTAAAGAAAATACATGAAAGGGCACGACTTTTCTTTAATTAAAAAAAATTTCAATATTTCAAAAACGGTGATTTTTTTACCTGAAAATTGTTTGCTTATCAGGAGGCTCACCACCCCACCTGCCTTCTCCTAAAGTTTGGCAGGTTAGTTCTGGGACACCCTGTATATCAATCTTGAATAAATTATTATGAATTCCTTAGCCATACTGTTCAAAAAATCTGAAAGTCTGGTTCATACACACATATTAATTCTAGGCCGTATTAAAGGGCCTTATTCTGTATCACGAACGATAGGCAAAACGAACGAACAACCTCTCTAATTGCGATTTTAAACTCTAACGGTCGTCTTCGTCTTGCTTTTCATACATTACGTAGCAATGGTCTCGGTTGCGTTTAAATCGGCTTAAACGATGCCGCCGGACTGATTTCTGAAGCATCCCTCTGCAGACGAATCGTTCGTGTTGCCTATCATTCGTGATACAGGCTGTAAGAAAAGTTGCCTAACGTCGACAATTTTTATGCGATTGCAATAAAAAAAATTTCAAGCGAATCGAAACTGTCTCACCAAATTTGATGTCCGATACGAAAAAGAATGCCTCATATATACAGTATATTTTGCTTTGCTGCCTTTATGCTTAAGTGCACATTTAAGATACCTACCCTAAAATGCGCATTAGCGGCATTATTCTTAACATTTATAAGGAAACTCTTCCGATAGATGCATTCAACATACCTGCACATTGGCGATACCTGCCTTAAAAATTGTGCAACTATTATTAACTATCAAAGAAAGCATTAGGTTTACCTGCACTGGCCCTACAATTACCTAATTTTACAAGCTTTTATTTATTTTGCTCATCTCTCAGAACAACGAAAATGGTTATCAATTAATGTAGTTATATAGATAATTAGATACCATTCGGTAAACATTTCGCTTGCATAAATTTCTACGTGGTAAGTGCTCCTCCATTATTTGGTTTCATAGGGATTCGGATACCTTCCTCATTGAAGTTGTAAAGAAAATTCGCTTAGGTGCTTTTTTCGGTTAAGTGCACAAGTTTTTCGTGCAAAGAAGGATGGGCAGCTAAGCGAAATATACTGTATTTCATTACTACAACGCATAACCAAAAAACTTCAAAATAAAAGTTACAAGCAACGAAAAAAAAATTTCATTGAGAATAACTCTTACCAGGCAACGTGGCAACAAAAGAGCCGAAAATAAAAGTTATTAGCAACGAAAAAAAGTTTTCATTGAGAATAACTCTTACCAGGAAACGTAAAAAGAAAAAAGTTGAAAATAAAAGTTATGATCGACGGAAAAAATTTTGTCTTAGGAATAACTCGTACCAGGCAATGTAAAAACAAAAACGTCGAAAATAAAAGTTATGAACAACGAAAAAAAGTTTGTATTGAGAATTATTCTAACCAGTAGCTCGTTTCTGTAACAGTTCTCTACCAAGGCGAACTCATATATGAATAGAGAATGACGTATACTCTCTACCAGTAGAGAAATAATCGATAGAGAAGAGTTACAGAAACGAGCTGCAGGTAAAATAAAAACAAAAAAGTCGAAAGTAAAAGTTATGATTAACGAAAAAATTTAGTTTTGGGAATAACTCTCATAAAGTAACTTAAAAAATTTTTTATTGTCCTACGACCAACGTTTTCCCCCTCCAAAAAAAATCATAAGTTATTTAGGGTCTCGGAAATAAACACTTTTCAGTAGTTGCTTTCCATGTACTTTTTAGAGTGTATCTGCCGTTAAGGCGTGTTACTTAAATTATTATTTATATCAATATCACATACACCTTATAATGAATGCTACTAAACTGACTGTTTTACTTATTACTTTCTTTAAGTGTTGGATACCGAAACAATGCAGCAACTGAACACATCAGATTATGAGACTGCCAAATATTTTGATTCTTATGAATGTTCCCTAAGTCCAGAAATGAAACTACTTGCCAAAGAAGAGCTGCATGAAGATGATAATATACGTCAGCAGGCATTAAAACAGTTTCGCGAATGGATATCTAAACACCCATCTATTAAGAAGTGCCGCACTGATTCCATGTTTCTGCTAAGGTTTTTACGCACCAAAAAATTCTCAGTTCCTGAAGCATGTGAAATGCTGGAACGTTATTTAACTATACGTCAGTTATTTCCGCAATGGTTCTCAAAACTAGATATTACAGACTCGGAGATCAGTGAAATTTTTGATAATGGTTATCTAATTCCGCTTCCTGAAAAGGATGACAATGGTAGACAAGTAATACTTTCAGTGGCGAGGAACTTCGATCCATACAAATATAACTCTGTTCAGATGGCTCGTATTCACTCACTTATTTGCGAAAGCTTATTAGACGACGAGCAGTCGCAAGTAGCTGGTTATGTGTACATAAACGACGAAAGCGGAATTAAAATGGGTTTCGCAAGTCTTTGGTCCCTCGCGGATTTAAGAAGTATGGTTAAATGTATACAGGTAAGTAAGAACTGCGTTTACTTAATTTCAAAGAGAAATAATTGCTCTTTCCAGAATTCCACTCCCATGAGGCATAAAGAAACACATTTCATTAACATACCGCATTTTGCGAACCGTATTATCGAGTTGGGAGTATCATTGCTCAGCGAAAAACTAAGAAAGCGTATAGTTGTAAGTTGGAAAATTAAATAACAAACCAGAAGTTTCTTATAATATATTTTCTTTTTTAATGCAGATCCATAAGACACTTGACGCCTTGAAAGAAAAAGTAAAACCAGCTATTCTTCCTCGGGAATATGGTGGGACCATTCCGGTTTCTGATATTATTAAACAGTTTAAATTGAAACTATTAGAAAAACGATCGGCGATTTTATCCCTTGATGACATGTACATTGATATAACGAAACAGCCTAATATTTCCTCAAATATCGGTTTAAGTGATGTTGATGTTGGAATAGTAGGCAGTTTTAGAAAACTGGAAGTGGATTGAGTGATATGCCCAAGCCTTTTTGTATACAGTTATTACAAAAAAAAAAATCATGATTGTAAATTAAAAGCCAGTATACCCACTAATTGCTAATCAGAAATACTACATATTTTGCTGATATATATGTACCTTAAATCATAAGGCTGTTGTTTTGGTAAATTTATATTTTTAGAATTTGCAATCAGTTCAGGAAATGACGAAAAAAATTGCCCGATCATTGCATGAGCCATCCTTTTGTGGTTCTAAGCAAGATATGCACCAAAAGTTCCCATCCATCCATGTACCGGTTGAAATGTTATGAGAAGTCAAATGTCACAATAAATGGTCACTTTATTGAAAAAAAACTTTCGTTATCAAATTTGTAGTTTAAGACTTTTCTTACCAACAACGTTTAACATCGTTTTTTCGGTAGACGATGCATTTAAATTTAAATGCATGGTTTATGTTGTTTTTCTATGATGCAATAAAGGAAGGTGTTATACGTTCGCGATCCTCTCGCTCTAATCGCCATCTTGAACTCCCTGAGAAAATTCAATTCGCCGCTTTGACAAACTAGTCGACCTTTTCGTCTCTATCTCTATTGTTATTCGTTGACCATCAGAATTAAAATGTATGCGAATTATTTTCAGCCTTTATAGCAGTTTTTTGGAAAACCAATTCCTCAAATCGTAAGTATTTTATGTACGTATATATACAATCTATAAATAAAACCATGATACAAATATCTAAAGGTAGTTTCAATTCTTCTTCTTATTCGCCATTGCTCCCATTTGACGTTAACTCTGCTTTTGTCATTTTCTTTAAATTGAAGCTACCATATTCTTTGAAGGAATTAAAAAGTGGGTTTTTACTTAAAAAAAATATTAAAAAAATTATTTGGAAAAATATATTTTGAGCATCATTTTATAGCGAGCTTTTAGTGATTTATTTCGAAAATTATATACAAAACGGAAGGCAAGTAAAATACTCGTATCACATTGTGTAATAAACATAGAGAATCTATTTGTGTATGCAATTATTTTCACCATTATTTAGTACGATTAGCTGCATATTTCGGGATGGCCAAGTACATGGTAACTTCACAAAGGTGTTGTTTGTTTGTTCCAATAACTTTTCGGCAGAAAATTTTCAGCTCCGGGACGGATGTGCCCAATCTGAGCGAAACGCGGCACGAGCAACAATAGAGAGAGTATTCCAAGAATTAGGAAATTTGTTTACCTCCCTCTTCATAACTACATACCTACATCATGCGTTATCACAAATAAGTTTATGCTTCCATGGTGCTTTCACCGTAAGCTACTTTTTAACCATACCTTTGTCATATCAAAGAACGTAAATCTATAAGAGGAGACAACACGTTATAATTGTAGCGAGTGTGAACATCAGGAGCGTGCCTTCTCTTTTCATCCAATCACAAAACGTATTTGGGCAAAAAGAAAGCACAATCCTGATTACAATTATAACGTGTTGTCTCTTCTTATAGATTCACGTTCTTTGGTCATATTTCCACTAAACAGGATCCAAATCAAAGCAACATCCTAATATCTAAATTTCTTAAAGGGCCAGATATAATAATATTTCATGTAACACTGCGGGTAATGCCAAATTTTTTTGCGGTAAGGTCATTTAATGGTGATTTCGTTTCTACCAAAAAAGGTCGCTTTTTGATTGCGCCTTTCTCTCTTCGTGTTCACTGAGAAAAAAATTAAACAAAAATTGGTTAATATTACCAAATTCAAACTTGAAAAGAAATCGTCGTGATTTTTGGTTAATATTAACAATGCCTTGGTTGCTATTTTCAACAGTGATTTGGTAATATTAACCACACTTTTATTTACATTAACCAAACTTTTTGTTGCCGATTCTATGTTTCAATACGCTTATGTTATGCACTTCACAGATGCTTTTTCATATCTCGGAGATACAAAACAAACATTTTTATAATCATTTTAACACGTTGCCTCTGACGGGATTTGAAAACGCATCTTCTGAAAGTTACCCAGTAACAGCAAGCATCTCTGCACACCCAGCTACAGCCGCTTTATAAATGTGTCTTTAAATGTTCAACTCGAATAAATTTTCTTGGCGTTTGATTTGGTTCTGCACTTCACAGATGCTTTTTCGTAATTAATAAAAACCAAAAAATAAAAATTATGTGTTGCCGCTGACGGCATTCGTACTCGAGCCTGCTGGGCGACAACAAATAACAAAAAACGTCTCTGCACGATCAGCTACAGCCAGACATACGAATTTGTTTTCAAATATAACCAACAATAACTAGGTTGACTCAGTGTTCGATTCTAAATTAAAGGCAGAGGATGAGAAAATTTGTGTTCGTTTCTTAAAATATCATACATTGAAGCTTTGTCAGGGGAGATGGTTGCCCTGAAAATCAGATGGTTGTTTAAAACGCCCATATTATGATGATTAATGCAAAGTCAGCATAAAGTCAGGTTCCACCAGCTTCAGATTTTGAAAAAAAAACGAGGACAAAGTGTCAAAAAATCGCGTTTTTTTGCAATATTTTAGAAGATCTAGCAAAGACACAAAAGGTGATAGAACCTTCCCGGCTTAAATTAAAGCTAGAACTCTCGGCTACTATCTCCATTCCTGTAGATTTATTTGATGGTCACTTAGTCATTTGTTATATACTTTTATTTGTTTTTCCTCAATTTTAGAAAAAACTAGGAAGACGTTGAATAAAATTTTTGAACGTTTATTATAGGTTTCAAAAAGAAGTTTCATTGACATTGGTTATTATGGTACACCAACTGTACATTGAATTTTTGTACAAACATATATTTTTCCCATGATTCCAGAAAATTATAAAAATAATAAAATATAAAATTATTAGTTATTAGAACCAATAGCTGATACTATACAAATAGGCCAAATAGGCCACAATACTCTTCTTCTTCTTCTTTTTTGGCGCTGTAACCGCCTAAGCGATTTTGGCCGAGTTCAGCAAAGCACGCCAGTCGTTTCTCCTCTGTGCCAACTGACGCCAATTGGAAACGCCAAGTGAAGCCAAGTCCTTCTCCACCTGATCTTTCCATCGCAGTGGGGGCCTCTCTCTTCCTCTGCTACCACCAGCGGGTTCCGAGTTGAATACTTTCAGAGCTGGAGCGTCGGTGTCCATTCGAACGACATGACCAAGCCAGCGGAGCTGCTGTATTTTAATTCGCTGCACTATGTCCATATCGTTGTAAAGCTCATACAGCTCATCGTTCCATCGTCTGCGGTAATCGCCGTCGCCAACGCGTAAAGGCCCGTAAATCTTCCGCAAAATCTTTCTCTCAAACACTCCAAGAGCCGCCTCATCGGATGTTGTCATTGTCCATGCTTCTGCGCCATATACCAGCACGGGCATGATGAGTGACTTATAGAGCGCGGTTTTCGTACGTCGAGAGAGGACTTTACTCCTGAATTGCCTACTCAGTCCAAAGTAGCACTTGTTGGCAAGAGTGATTCTACTTTGGATTTCAATGCTGACATTATTATCGGTGTTAATGCTGGTTCCCAAGTAAACGAAATTCTCTACTTTCTCGAAATTGTAACTGTCAACAGTGACGTGGGTGCCAAGGCGCGAATGTGCTGACTGTTTGTTTGATGACAGGAGATACTTCGTCTTGTCCTCGTTTACCACCAGACCCATTCGCTTTGCTTCCCTATCCAACTTGGAAAAGGCAGAACAGACTTCGCGGTTTTTGTTAGCGATGATGTCGATGTCATCGGCATAAGCCAGCAATTGCACGCTTTTATAGTAAATTGTTCCTGAGCGGTTCAGTTCTGCAGCTCTTATTATCTTCTCCAACATCAGATTAAAGAAGTCACATGAAAGGGAGTCGCCCTGTCTGAAACCCCGTTTTGTGGCGAACGGCTCGGAGAGGTCTTTTCCAATTCTGACGGAGCTGGTGGTTTTGCTCAACGTCATTTTACACAGCCGTATGAGTTTTGAGGGGATGCCAAATTCAGACATAGCGGCGTATAGGCAACTCCTTTTAGTGCTGTCAAAAGCGGCTTTAAAGTCGACAAATAGGTGGTGAGTGTCGATCCTTTTCTCGCGGGTCTTTTCCAAGATTTGGCGTATTGTGAATACCTGGTCTATGGTGGATTTGCCAGGTCTAAAGCCACACTGATAAGGCCCAATCAGTTCATTGACGGTGGGCTTCAGTCTTTCACACAATACGCTCGATAAGACCTTGTAACCTATGCTTAGAAGGCTGATCCCGCGGTAGTTGGTGCGGATGGCGGGGTCACCTTTCTTATGGATTGGGCAGAGCACACTTAAATTCCAGTCGTCGGGCATGCGTTCATCTGACCATATTCTGCACAAGAGTTGATGCATGCACCTTATCAACTCCTCGCCGCCGTACTTGAATAGCTCAGCTGGCAGGCTGTCAGCTCCAGCGGCTTTGTTGTTTTTCAGCCGCGTTATTGCTATACGTACCTCGTCATAGTCAGGCGGTGGAACGTCGACTCCGTCATCATCGACTACGGGCTCGGGTTCTTCTTCTCCACAACTTTCCGTGCTGCTACCATTTAGTAGGGCGGAAAAGTGTTCCCTCCATAATTTAAGTACGCCCTGGACATCAGTTTCTAGGTCGCCATTATTGTTCTTACAGGAGTGCGCCCCGGTCTTTAAACCTTCCGTAAGTCGCCTAACTCTCTGGTAAAATTTTCGGGCATTCCTCCTGTCGGCCAGCATTTCAAGCTCTTCGCACTCACGTATTTCGGCCTCTCTCTTCTTGTTGCGGAAAATACGTCTCGCTTCCCTCTTCAGATCCATATAGCGGTCCCACATAGCGCGCGTTGCGCCCGATCGCAGCGTGGCCCTGTAGGCGGCATCTTTTTTCTCTGCAGCTTCCTGACACTCCTCATCGTACCAGTTGTTCTTTCGGGCTCGCTGAAATCCGACTACTTCTTCGGCGGCGGTACTTAATGAGCGGGAAATGTGGTTCCACTGCT